GTTACATTTGAGTCACATGTTTAGCACCATGGGTGGCTGAACATGTGCCACTCAAATTAACCCTAAATAACTCTCAAATCAAACCTAAATGCATCTAGGCACCTAAATTTTCGGACTAGCACATGGGAGCCAAAATTTGAATTCAAATTTCAAGTTTGAATTCAAATTTTGGGCGCCACATGTAGCCTTGGATTTAGGCGCCCAAAGTTGCACACTTGGAACCCTACTTAAGTGATTCTTCCACTCTTTGTATTCACTTTTGAGAATAATGAAATTTGAGAGCTTATTCAGCCAAATTTCGTTCAAGAGTCACCATGAGAGAAAGCTTCACCTTAGGAACCCTTCTAGGATTTCCTCCTCTTTGAAGTGAGCTTTCCCTTGCACCTTAAGCTTGGATGCTTCCATCCAAGGCTTAAGCCTTCTTCCTATCCGATAATCTCCTCCATCTAGTGTTCATCACGTTGGTTTCTATTTCCTTGAAGAAGATCCATGCATAAGGAGAGCTAAGGAGAAGAACACCTACCACTTCTCCTAACCTTTTCCATCAAAAGATCTGCCCAAACATCCTCCGTCTGTGTATTTTTTGTTGAAGTACTTCCCTGCACGTGTTGTCACTAACCGTCACGGTCAAATAGTTGAAGATTTCATTCCACTTGGCCAACAGATCAACATTTTCCACTCAAAGATACCCTAAACACCTCTAAAATCGTGCCAATTGTCTTCTTCTCCTTCTCCTAAAATTTGACCTAATTTTCACCACCCACAAGTGCAAAACCTAAGCAACAATGGGCTGAATATTAAAGAAAAGAAATTGGACCCAAGGAACTTCAAAAAAAAAGTTTACGTGAAAATAGAACCAAAAGAAAAAGAGTGACAACACGTGCAGGGAAGTACTTCAACAAAAAATACACAGACGGAGGATGTTTGGGCAGATCTTTTGATGGAAAAGGTTAGGAGAAGTGGTAGGGGTTCTTCTCCTTAGCTCTCCTTATGCATGGATCTTCTTTCAGGCTGTGAAACGCTACATGCTGCCCCCCAAGTGTTTGACAAGATCTTTGAGGAGAACAATGATAAAAAAAGACATCCAAAAGATGCCGGGGTGTAGCTGGATTGTAGTGGGGCGAAAGACAAACCTATTTGCTGCGGGTGATATATCGCATCCCAGTTATGATGAAATTTTACAAGCTTTAAAGCATCTGAGAGCACTAAGGCTTTGTTTGGATTTGAGGATGGAAAAGGGGGAGTGAAAAAGGAGGGATTTGAAAGGAAAGTGAGTGGAAAGTGAAGTTGTTTAGATTAAGGGAAAGTGAGTGGAAAGTGTAGAGAAAGTTTATAAAAGTTTGTGAATGAATTGATTGATGTGATAGATAAAAATAAATTTTTTAATTGATAATTTTATAAGATTACTATTTTGCCTTTAGGTTAAAAAAAGTTTATAATTATTATAATTAAAAGATAAATATACAAATTTTAACAAAAAATAAATATAAAATCTTAATTTAAAAATAATTTAATTTAAATATTTGCTTTAAATTTAATGATAAATAAAAATTAAAAATTGAATAAATGAATATGTAATTTACACTTTTATCCTTAGATTAAAAATGAGTATAATATTATTTATTGTAAATAATAATAATTACAATAAAATTATATTAATAGGTATAATTTATTAAAAAAATAATAAATAATAATAATAATAATAAATATTAGAAAAATAATAAGAATCATAATAAATAATAATGATACTAATTATTATAAATTATATATATATATATATTCATATATATATAAAGAGAAAATTAAATAAATAAAATAAATAAATAACTCACCATTTTTTAATTTCTCTCTCTTTCTTTATTTCTTAACCATTTCTTCCCTTTCAAGCAAAATGAGCCGTGTTAATTGATCAAAGAGGAAAGTGTTGAGAAAGTAAAAACAAAAGAAGTGAAAGATGTGAATCAAAAGGTATAGAAGGTTTGATGCGCGTGGCAATTGGAGTGAAATGTTTGCAGTTGCAGAGATGGGGAGAAATGAAGGTGAAGCACTACTCCGTGCAGCGTTTGAACTCCCTCCTTTTAAAGTACTCGGGCCAAGGATTGCCGGAAAGTGTCCTTCACTGCTATGCTTCTTTGATCAACTCAGGCCATTCGCCCGAACAATTCACTTACGCTATCACTCTGTCTGCCTCTGCAAAAGTGCAGAATATTGAGTTGGGCAGGGCAGTTCACTATTGTGTTTGTGTTATTAAGAGAGGCCTTCAATCCACCTCCTTCTGTTAGGGTGCTCTTATCCATCTCTACACCAAATGTAACTCTCTCACCTCTGCTTACACCATATTTGATGCCACGCCCTGTCCCCACCCCACCTCCACACCGTCACTTGGACCGCTTTAATCTCTGGTTATGTTCAAGCCGGCATGCCCGAGGAGGCACTCCACATATTCAACCAAATGCGCAACTCCGACGCTTATCCAATCCCAGACCCAGTGGCGCTTGTCACCGTCTTAAACGCTTACATTTCCTCAGGAAAGCTTCATGATGCATGCCAATTCTTTGAACAAATGCCGCTCCCCACCCGCAATGTTGTCGCATGGAATGTCATGATATCTGGTCATGCCGAGAGAGGCCATTATAAGGAGGCTCTTGCCTTTTTTTTCATCAAATGAGTAAGCATGGGGTTAAATCCTCAAGATCCACGCTCACTAGTGTTTTAAGCGCCATTGCCAGCTTAGCCTCCCTAGGTCATGGCTTGCTAGTTCATGCACGTGCTATCAAGCAAGGTTTTGAGTCCAGCTTATACGTCACAAGTTCCTTGCTCAATATGTATGGCAAGTGTGAAACGCTACATGCTGCCCCCCAAGTGTTTGACAAGATCTTTGAGGAGAACAATGATAAAAAAAGACATCCAAAAGATGCCGGGGTGTAGCTGGATTGTAGTGGGGCGAAAGACAAACCTATTTGCTGCGGGTGATATATCGCATCCCAGTTATGATGAAATTTTACAAGCTTTAAAGCATCTGAGAGCACTAAGGCTTTGTTTGGATTTGAGGATGGAAAAGGGGGAGTGAAAAAGGAGGGATTTGAAAGGAAAGTGAGTGGAAAGTGAAGTTGTTTAGATTAAGGGAAAGTGAGTGGAAAGTGTAGAGAAAGTTTATAAAAGTTTGTGATATGGCAAGTGTGAAACGCTACATGCTGCCCCCCAAGTGTTTGACAAGATCTTTGAGGAGAACAATGATAAAAAAAGACATCCAAAAGATGCCGGGGTGTAGCTGGATTGTAGTGGGGCGAAAGACAAACCTATTTGCTGCGGGTGATATATCGCATCCCAGTTATGATGAAATTTTACAAGCTTTAAAGCATCTGAGAGCACTAAGGCTTTGTTTGGATTTGAGGATGGAAAAGGGGGAGTGAAAAAGGAGGGATTTGAAAGGAAAGTGAGTGGAAAGTGAAGTTGTTTAGATTAAGGGAAAGTGAGTGGAAAGTGTAGAGAAAGTTTATAAAAGTTTGTGAATGAATTGATTGATGTGATAGATAAAAATAAATTTTTTTCAACCATTTTCATCACCCATGGAAGGAACTACTCCATCAGGGTTGAATCATTTTCACTAATTAATATGGTCCATTCATTTTTATAGACATTTTGATGCACATGACTAAAGGCATAGGATTCCTAACGCTCTGAGACAAAGATATTCTGAATCAATGACATTCTGAATCAATGATACTCATGACTAAAGGTGTTGGATTCCTGACGTGCATGACTAAAGGCGATGGATTCTTGACGCTCTAAGACAAAAGGCACTCTGAATCATTGACACTCTAAATCAATGACACTTTAAATCATTGTCACTTTGAATCAATGACACTCATGACTAAAGGAATGGATTCCTAACAAGCATTACGAAGGGCATTGGATTCCTGACGCTTTGAGATAAAGACCTTCTTAATCAATAACATACTATATTAACTACAATAATTATAACGGTTACATCATTAAAATGAAAATATAACTTCAATAAAAACAAGTTAAACATACTTGAAACATACCAAATGAAAAACATATGACATAACCATAGAACATTAGTTGTCCAACTTCATTTCTTGGCCAAGGTATTTTTCAATCACATCCATCCTATGCAAGAATCCAATATATGTCGTCATAGCATACAATTCAAGACTTGTTAGGTCGTGCAATTTTGTGAACAATGAAAACATACACTGCACATCTTTATCATCCCAAAGACAACACGCTCAATATTGATATATACCACCGATACATGAAATTGGGCATCACTAGTGGATGTTTGTGACAATTTTGTCATCAAGAAGATTGAGGTTATTATTAATAGCCTACTTAAGTTGTTGATAAGTCATCGTGCTGCTTACTAGTAATGTTTTAACCTCATTTCTAAGAAATTTATCTCTATACTGATTATAGACAATTTGTCCATGATAATAAACAGTAGCCAGAATAGTGAAAGAATACATTGATGAGATGCTTACATTTGATGCATTTTAGAATTTGTTAAAAAAAGTTATATAGAAGTAAAGTAAGATGCTTGCCAACTAATGTGGACAAATGTAAAGTCATTGGATTCCTGATGCTCTAGGACAAAGACAATGACACCCTGTGTAAAACATTTAATTCCTAACATAATGAGACAAAGTAACTCATGACACCCTGTATAAAGTCATTGGATTCTTGTCGCTTTGAGACAAAGACAATGACACATTGCATAAAGCATTTGATTCCTGACACAATGAGACAAAGTAATTCATGACACCTTGCATAAAGTCATTGGATTCTTGACACTTTGGGACAAAGACAATGACACCTTGCATAAAGCATTTGATTCCTAGCATAATGAGACAAATTAATTCATGACACCCTACATAAAGTCATCGGATTCTTGACGCTTTGGGAGAAAGACAATGACACTCTATGTAAAGAATTTGATTCTTGAAGCAATGAGACAAAGCAATTCATGAAACCCTGCATAAAGTCATTAGATTCCTGACACTTTAGGACAAAGACAATGACACCCTGCATAAAGCATTTGATTCTTGACACAATGAGACAAAGCAATTCATGAAACCTTGCATGAATTCATTGGATTCCTGAGGCTCTAGGACAAAGACAGTGATACCTTGCATAAAACATTTGATTCCATACTTAATAAGACAAAGCAATTCATTACAATAATATTATTTGTCTCACTTTTTTACACTATATATACACTACGTACATTTATTGCTTGAACACACAAGAAAAAATCAATTCTCTTCAACTATTGCATTGCATTCTTCAATATCATTGCTCTTGTTCTTCAACAATGTCTACTTCATCTTCAACTATGTTGTGGAAACAACACCTCCATAAGTCAAATGAAACTTAAATTATGGTAAGTTAATATATATTTCATAATGTTTACAAGTAATATTATTCATTACTAACTTTTCAATTCTACCATATTCATATACAACAAGTGGTCTAGTTATTCAATCTTACTTCATTCCATGCCTGCACCTGACCCAAGAATTGAAAATTTGTTGGAGGTTGTTGGCTTTGCTGACGTTGCAAAATAAGACATTTTAAAATCGACGATAGTTTGATAACATCTTTGGTGGAAAGGTGGAGACTAGAGATACATATTTTCCACCTCCCAATTAGTGAGTGCACGATCACTTTAGAAGATGTACTAAAATTGGGTTTGAAGGTCGATGGAAAAGAAGCCACTAGACCTACTTTCTTTGACTGGGAAGAATTGTGTTATGAGTTGTTAGGTTTAGTAACTTCAAAAAGAGAAGCTCTAATTGGGTCGACAAGAAAAACTAAAATGGTTAAGAGATCATATGATTGCACTACCAAATCGAATCTACTGAACAAGAATTGCACCAACATTCTAGGACATATATTTTAGCGTTAATTGGTGGTGTAATTATGTCAGACAAATTAGGTAATAGACTTCACTTAATGTATTTACCATTGTTGGCTAACTTAGAACATGTAGGATGATATAGTTTGAGTTCTACTTGTTTAGCACATTTGTACATGAAAATGTGTAGGGCGATTTATCCATCGTCAAAGAAAATGAATAGATGTTCTTTCCTACTACAATCTTGGGCTTGGTATTGCATGCCCTTCATCCAACCAAGAGTCAAATGGGAAATTACATATCCCATTACCTTGAGGTATGAATTAACTTATATACCATTTTGATACATCAAACAAGTACATTCTAGCTAAATTTTAATCAATGTACAATTTTTTTATGGATAAGAAGGTCAAGATTTATAGGCACACCCCATGGAGATTTACTCAACTATAGATTAAGATATGACAACATGAATCATAACGAGGTAATACAATGTCAACTTGTTTTAAACATACTCTCTTTTATTCAATTAATTTATAACCTAAACCTTTTTTCTATCTTAAGTTTGAGTGGATTCCATATAGGGGTTTTGAGTCCACATTACCAAGATGTGCTTACAAGGATTCCAAAATATGGACTTCTTGCACTATTTCAACTTTATTTGCAGTTTTAGTCTGTCATCAAAGTGATAGAGTCCAATTACAATTTGACTTGTGGCAACTGATTTCCAATCAAGCATATAATCTTGACAAAATGCATGAAATAGACATGAAAGGTCATAACGAAACCAACTGGGCTAAACAACATGAAAATTGGATTTTCATATAGAAGGACAGACATAAACATGTTATTTTTGGCCAACCACTTCAAGGGTCTCTCCAACACACTACTGAGTATTTGCAATGGTTTCGTGCAAATTCTAAATTATTTTTTTATCCAATATTTTACATCTGGTGCATCCACTTCAAGTACATAACTCCCAACAACTATAGGATTTCAACAACATTATCTAACACCATAACATACCCCAATGGTTGGAGATAACGACCCACCTTATAATATGGAACAATATCCTTAATCTTATTCAATGAATCCACCAATTCATATGCAGCATGAACATTTCATGTGCACCCCACCATCAACAAGAGGTTCCATAGAGGGCTTTATGAGCAATCTATTTGGTGTCGATGTAAACACACCACAAAAAAATTGTATTTTTAACTACTTTGATCACACCAATGAAGTATATCAATTAATTCACTTCATGGCCTTTTATTATGTCTCTACTAAGTTATTTTTTAATTTCCTTTGCACAGCTATTTCCAATAGTTTTTATGTCAATCAATCCAATAGTACCACTTTCATGTCTCAAAAATGTTCCTAACACCTTTTAAAAGTCATTCAAAAATTGAAAAATTAGACTTTCATACTAACATTCATTGATTTATAATACAAAATTTAATGTATAATATAAATATTTCTTGTTATATAACTTAAAATTTTTATATAAATTAATTAAATTTAATTTAAAATATTTTTAAAAAATCACTTCTATTAATTATATATAATTATTAAAGAAAAATAAAAAAATATACATATTTAAAAATATAAAAAATGAATTATTAAATTAA